ACCTCCTTGAACCTGTTTCCTCATTAGTACAATGGGCTTAAACACCTAACTTCTAACATTGCTGTAAGGGCTAAATGAGATCATGTAGATTAGGAGTGCAAAATTGAGAGGTGATGGTAGAGGAATAAGAGTCGGGAGGTAAATGTATCATAGCTGGTGTCATGATAAAAATTATATAGACATTTGGGACTAGCAGTTGGCGTAATGGCTATGTCGCTGGACTCCCATGTAGTAGACCATGGTTTGAGTACTGGACCCGGTGGCTTAAACTCAGGCCCGGCGCATGTGCATGCATGACCAAGATCCCGAGAGGAGAATGGAGAAGGGACTGTGGCGTGACCATCCCCCTGGGCAGTGATTTCTCACTTTCTGTCTCTCTGTCTCTCTTTGTCTTTCTGGCGAGTGCACACTCCCTACAGCAAAAACCTTTCCAAAAAAAAAAATTATATAGACATGATCAGAATCAATGTTTCCCCTAAAGAGTTAAAGATGGGCACTGGCAGTTAGAATACTGGCAAGAAATGAAGCTGGAGGACCAGCAAGTGGTGTGGTGCTTAAGGTGCTGGATCCCACAAAGCCAGCTGCGTGGTTTGAGTTCTGGACCCCATGGCTTGAAAATCATGCCAGGCACGTGTGTGTGCATGACCAAAATCCTGAGAGGAGACCAGAGGAGAAGGGATTGAGGCATGCCCTTCCCCAGGGGAGTTATTTCTCACTTTTCCTCTCCCCCCACCTCTCTCTCTGGTAATCACATGGGCCCTATAGTGAAAAAATAAAAAAAGAAGTTGGAAGGAATATACAGAATATTGGGGATAAAAGTATTTTAAATGACAGGCTACATGACTATATGCCTCATGCTATGCAATAAGCAATAAAAATCCTTGTTTTGTGCATAACTCACTTTCTAATATACTATTAAATTTAGATAGTCTTTTCATCAGTTTTAAAAGAATTATGGTGACTTAAGTTACTTTAAATAAAAGAAAAAACTGTATTTTTGTAAAGCAAGTAATTTTTATTCAAGCTAAATCCAAGGGATTTGTAAAAAAAAACAAAAAAAAACAAAAAAACACACAACAAAACAGTGGCAGCTATTCAAGAGGGCCTTGCATGAAAAAGAAAGAAAAAAAAAATTAATGGCTGAGGCCATTCTATGGCTGATTTTACCCATGCTAATATTGCTGTCTTTAAGTGCTTACACATACAAACACCAGTCCCTCTCCATGGGTAGTAGCCATTTAAGTTCCCAAGTAAGAAAGCCAGTTCCACTTGCTTGACTACCTGGGGAGATAGCAGGCAGGCTGGCTAAGGAAGGCTTTTATGGGCTGATTCATTCAGTCACACACACCCTGAGTTGAACGCCTGTGTGGAGGACTGGATTCTCACTGCCAAGATGGAAACAACGTGACTCTCACCATTAAAAAAAAAATAAAAGGAAAGAAAAGAAAAAGTGTTGCAATATGCTAGTCTATACTGTGTCTTTTGAAATCTCAGTCATCCCTCAAACTCATGGTCAAATGCCCCTCTTCACATTCTGGATCCCCTGTCCCTTCAAATCTCAACCCCAGTTAGAATTAATGACTACCTACTTGGTGTTCCTAATGCACTTTGATCAGACTTCACCTTTTATGCCTAAACTATTTACACTGCCATAGGATGTATGCATTCTATACATCTGAAAACACTCAATAACAGGGTGAGATAGTGTTAGGCCTTGATTCCACACTGAAAAAATAACCAGATGAGGGGCTAGACGATGGTGTGGCAGTAAAATGAGACACACTTAGAGATAGGCCCATGTGATGAGTTTGCCAGCTCACATCCAGAGACCTCCCTGAGTACACCAGGCACATGTGTACTCATGATCTGGGGTGGGTGGAGGCTGGGGGTGGATTGCAGCATCAAGACTCTGTTAGGGGTGCTGTGTCTCTATCTCTCACACTTATGGAATAAAGGAAAGAAAATAATCAGCAGAACAAAAAACAGGCCTTGGATAAAAGGAGCCTGTGGCTCAGTAGCACAGATAATATATTAATTTCAGCAAGTATATATGTAATCTATTAGTAAAGTAGGCTAAAAATACAGAAAGGGGAGAGAGAGGGATGCCCTGAGGGCATGTGAAAGGATGAACAAGTACATCACAGGCAGAGAGAAAATCAGGTTCAGTCAAGAAGGCATGAACCACGGGTATACAATTTCGGTCATACAAGATGACGTTTTAGAGATCTGTTGGACAATGCAATGCTCATAGTTAACACGATTATACTAAACAGCTAAAAATCTTTAAAGAGGGTAGATCTCATGTTTTAACTACAATTAAAAAATAAATTTGAAACAGCATGAAATAACATGGCTTGTCTGGGAACATATAAGGAGACCACTGCTGCTGGAGTTAATGGGGGGAAATGGAGTGAAAGGAGAAGCTGGAGAACAGGGTAAGAGCCAGATCCAAATGGGCTTTGTGGCCAGTGTTTGGCTTTTTATTTTCTGGGTAATGAGGAGCTACAGATGAACTGACAGGTAAGCATGGAGGAGATAAACTCTGAAGTAGTCTAGGTGAGAAAGGAGAAAGCCTTACTTATCATTAGTTAATTCACTTGTTTATTTTCCCACCACCAGTCAGGGACTCCATCTGTCTTGCTCACAGCTATATTTTAAGTTATAAAACAGGGCCTTATATTCATAGGTTCTCAGTAAATACCTGCTAAATCAATGAACAAATCCGAGGACAAAACCTCTGGCTAACTCATATAGGTATTCCTCAATAGTTTCAGTAGGTTTTATATAAAGGAGGCTCAAAAACATGCAATGATTTTTTTTTCTTTTTAATTCATGTGTGCCTGAATTTTTCCCAAATAATGACATCAAATTTTCTTGGTGAAAAGTACAAAGAATTTTTCAAACCATCAGCTTTGCACAACCCACCTGATCATCTAGCAATCCAGCTGGGCCTTTCTGCTTCGTAAATCATTGCTGGCAACAAAGCCTCAGCAATTAAAACTCAGCTGTTGGTTGTGCTGACAATGGTCGGGATAGAAGTGAGACTGTGGTCCTCCTGTGTCTGTCACACCACAAGGGTGGCACATCATTCCCTCTGGCTGCAGCCACTGTCTGACACTGCCCCACAACCCATAACCAGTAACTCTGGGTGAGATTTCTCCACAGAGGAAGGTAAAGGAATTTAACGTCTTTGTATCAAGAACCAACAAAAAGGCACTTTTTATAATTCTCCTATAGTGGAATCCACCAAGCTCAAGCTATCAGCTTGATTGCCTCATCCTCAGGGCAGCACAAGTCCTCTACCTGCCAGTTTTAAGCCTGCTCACAGGGGTTTTAAGCCTGCCCACAGTGCCACTGCCGATAGCACAGTGGTTTTAGAAAAGTGTTCTGAAAATCGGGGTCTAGCAGTTGGCGTAATGGCTATATTGCTGGACTCTCATGTAGTCGACTGCAGTTCAAGTCCGGGACCTGGTGGCTTAAACTCACGCCAGGTGCGTGTGCATGTGTGCCCAAGATCCCGAGAGGAGAATGGATTGCAGCGTGGTTGTCCACCTGGGGAGTGATTTCTCGCTTTCTGTCTTTCTCTCTTTCTGGCAAGTGCACGTGATCTATACCAAAAACCTCTCAAAAAGAAAGAAAGAAAGTGTTCTGGGAATCAAGCCCTTGATGGGGCCACTAATGTCAATCAAGAATCCTCTCTGGAGGGGCCAGTACATGGCATGGTGGTTAAAGGCACTGGACTCCCACATGGCCGACAATGGTTCAAGTCCTAGACCTGGCAGCTTGCTTTCTCACTCTCCCTTTCTCTCTCACTCTGTCCTCTCTGGTCAAATTAAAATAAACAAATAAATAAGTAAAGTTAAATAAAATAATTCTTAAAAAAAAAAAAAACGAATCCTTTTTGGAGGATCCACATTGGACTTGCAGTTTAGGGGCATAATAAGCACAGGCACTAAACCAAGACTCAGTACAAATCCTGACTTCCACTTACTGGTCATGTGACTTTAAATAAATGATTTTACTCTCCTGAGTCTCAGTTTTCTTATTTTACAAATGAGAATAATCCTCCCTGCCTTACGGGGTTCCAGAGAGATTAAATAAGGGAATCCATATCATTTACAAATATATTTCATATATATGTGTGTGTGTATATTTAAATATGGTGCCTGATATCTGTAAGAGGCATATAATGAATGCTCATTCCTTCCCATACCCTGTGTGGAAGTGGGAGGTCAGGGACTAGCCACCTTGTACAAAGCAGCAGAGCTCATGGGGTCTCACACACAGGGAGAAGAAGGGAGCTCATGGGAGAGAGAGGATAGAAACTGACAGCTAGTAGTTTCTGCTGCTTCTATACTTGAGAAACTTACACAATGTGAGTGACAGAGGCTGTCCCAAGTACATAAAGGAACCTAATCTGTTTGCAAAGAGAGGAAATAGCACAAGATGAAGATTGTAAGTTGTTTGAAGCTTCTTCCCTAATTACCACTCATAATGAAAATTTAATTGCCAAGTTAAAAGCAAATTTCACTTTTTCTGTCAGAGAATCTCTGCAGAATCTGGCACATTTTGTTTGAACAGGAAATCAAAGTTACTTTAATGCTTAAATGAGATCTAAGGAGTTACAGATGTTGCACTCGGAATAATAACCTTCGAAATTCTGCTCTGCTGGGTTGTAGCTACTCAGGGAAAAAGAAAAGCTGCTTTGAGCAGAGTAACCCAGAGGGGGAGGGGTTCGAATCCCAAGTACTCCAGTGCTAGACACTCTGGGGCAAAGATGGGGAGAGGGAGGTACAGTCATCTCAGGCATATCGGAGCTTATAGCAGGGTAGGAGAGAGAGCACACCCGGAAACATCCCATGGTTAAGAAGGTGACATTCAGAAAACTTTGCACTATGATCAAAACGCAAGAAACAAGGCAGCCCTCTGGAAGGTGCTTGCTTTCACACATCCTTGCTTTAATTCCAACCCACATGAGGATCAGCCAGAAGACTACTCACCTGTAAGGTACTGGTGAGGAAATTGTCTTGGGAGACGATGTCCACAAAGAAGTCAGCAGGGATCTCCCCAAGCTGGTGGTACAGGATGGAGATAAGGCTGATATAGAGGCTGTGGTGCTTCACCATGGCTGCTTCTGAACGGCACAGGAGGTTCAGGAGCCGCTTCCAGTGCTCAAACGCCTCATACACATTCCCCAGCAGGAAGCACACAAAGGCAAATTGGAGCTCACCTGAAAGGTACAAAGAGGAGAAATGATCCTGAGGGAGAGGAGAACCTGCTGACTCTACTCTATGCCATTCACAAGGTCATCAATTCCACTGGATCTCAGCAAAAGGCGGCCTTTTATCCTTATCATCCTGCAGAGCCCAGCAGGGGATTCTGTACCTAGCAGGTGCTCAATAAATGTTTGCTGAACTATTATAAATTCAAACTATGAGAAACCAAACTATCATTGGATTTCTGTAAAATCAGACTGCAAAAGAAGATGCGTTCCTGGTATTTTCAGGCATTTAAAAAACTTACAAAATGTGGGAACCAGCAGTTAGAGTAATGGCTATGGCGCTGAACTCCCACGTAGTCGACCGCGGTTCGTGTCCCAGACCCGGTGGCTTAAAACTCACGCCGGGCGCGTGTGCGTGCATGCCCAAGATCCCGAGAGGAGAATGGAGGAGAAGGGATTGCGGCGTGACCATCCCCCCTGGGGGGTGATTTCTCGCTTTCTGTCTCTATGTCTCTCTCTGTCAGTCTGGCGAGCACACGCGCCCTACAGTGAAAATCTCTCCAAAAAAAAAAAAATTTACAAAATGTGTCCACAGATACTCTGCCAAGTGGATCCCAAACCTGGCTGCCCATAATTACTAGGAAACCTTGTTAAAGTAAAGCTGTCCAAGCCTCAGCCTCAGAGATTTTGGTTGAGGAGAGAGGATGGGGCCTCAGTACCTCTAACAAACCTCCAGTTGATTCTGATGCAGATGGTCTGATCCAGGGCAGGGAAATGCTGTATTATACCAGTTGATCCTCAGCCCAAATCCATAAAGTGTTCAGGAAAGGTGGTATTTGCTTCATTTTATATTTTTTATTACAGATGAGGTCAAGGGCTTGCCCAAGGACATATGTTTAACAGTTTGCAATTTAAACAGTGGAAAGGTAATATAGGTTATTTATTGGACGGGAACAGTTCTATAGTCTCCCAGAACTAGAAAATTCATTAATATTTGCTCTAGCCAAATTATTAATATTTTTGTTTACTCATAGGGCTCTGTGATTTAATCTCCATGAGCAACTTGGTGGCTTCTTTGCCACCAAACATGGACTAAACTTCCTGGATTCAAATCTGAGCTCTCCCACTTAGCAGCTATGTGAATTTGGGAATGTTACTTAATCCATTTATAGCCCAATCTCCTTATTTGAGGATTGTAGTGAAGATCAAATAAATCAATGTAGTACTTGTATAGCATTTAGAATAATATCTGGCACAAAGCAGCACCCAAAAAAGATTAGTTACTATTCCCAATTTCCACCAGATGCCTGTCTCAAACAAAGAGACCTGGTGATCCGGAAGCCACTGTCCCTGGGCAAGCAACTAGATCTCTGATAGCTGCAGATACTACAGTCTCTCTGGTTTCACAGGTGGCTATAAACTTAATGAGATATATATACACACGATCCAAAAAAATAACAGATGGGCTCAACACCAAAGCATTTCTTTAAATGCATGGTACTTAATCTCTGTCACTTCCAGAGACCTGGAAAAACTTGTGCCCTTTTAATAAGCTTGTAGAACCAAGTTTGATTTATATGAATAGATACCTAGTCTAGATATTTTGAATAGGGGACTGATATTTTCAAAATACAGCTAAATTGTCTTTGCATAATAAAGGTTAATGATTTGCTTCTTCAGTTAGCTTTATCTGGTTAGTTTATGAAACTACATATTAACCTATTCTTTGCATTCATTTAAATTCATACATTTCTTTTTTGTTGTTGTTGGAAATAGTAAGCAGGTCAGTTACTAGTTAAGATCTACTTGGTTGGGACCAGCAGTTAGCATAATGGCTATGTCACTGGACCCCCACGTAGTCGACTGCGGTTTGAGTCCCGGAGCCGGTGGCTTAAACTCACGCAGGGCGCGTGTGCGTGTGTGCCCAAAATCCTGAGACAAGAATGGAGAAGGGATTGCGGCGTGGCCATCCCCCCTGGGAGGTGATTTCTTGCTTTCTGTCTCTGTCTCTCTCTGTTTTTCTGGCAAGTGCACACACCCTATAGCAAAAACCTCTAAAAAAAAATAATTAAAAAAAAAAAACTTAGAACTATTAAGTTGGTTGCTAGTTACTACTTTTTTCTCACAGAAAAAATGTAAAATTTATTTCAACATTACCATGAATAATTAAAACTATGTTAGATGACAGAAGAAAAAAATTGCCATAAATACCAGTGTTGATTGTCTTACATATATAAATTATGTACTTAATGTGATGCAGCTCAAGTTATTCCATCTGTGCTACACTTTAATTTTTGAAGTAAGATCAAGTGGAATATTAGTCTCGTTTTGGTTTGCCAGGTAAAGTAAAGGAAGATTTGCTCTTGCAGTTAACATAGCAAGCATAGGAATATGATTCCAGTGTAGGTAGAATTCTTCCTCTATTTAGTCTCACATTTCTCCTTCATTGCTGACCTTCATTTCTGACCTTGTCTAAAATTAAACAGATATCAGAAATATAGCTGATCCTTGAACAATACAGGGGTTAGGGACATCAACCCCCTGTGCAGTCAAAAATCCACATTTAATTTCTGGGGGCCAGCAGGTTGCATGGTGGTTAAGGCACTGGACACTCCCACATGGCTAATAAGAGTTTGGGTCCCGGACCCAGTGGCTTGCTTTCTCACTTTCTCTCTCTCTCTCTCTGTGTGTCTCTCTCTGGTCAAATTAAAATAAATGAATGAATGAATGAAGAAAATTAATTCTTAAAAAAAAAAAAAAAACATTTAATTTCTGGTTTCCCAAAACTTAACTACAAATAGCTCACTGTGGTTGGGAAATCTTACCAATAACGGACAGTCAGTGAATATGTATTTTATATGTTGCATGCATTATATACTCTGTTCTTACAATAAAGTAAAAAAAGAAGTTAAGAAAATAGTGAGAGGATACATTTATTGTACTATATTTATACTATATTTTCCAATATATTTATTGAAAAATATACATTTTTAAGTGGACCCATGCAGTTCAAACCCATGGTATTCAAGGGTCAAGTGTATATTATTGAAAAGGAGGAAAAGTAACAAAAAAACTGTAATAATTTTTAAAAAATCATCAGCCTATCTAAGCCAGCGAAGAGACCAACATCTTGAGAAAGTCAGGAGTAAACTAGGAGGCAGGATGGATGCTACTAAAACTCCAGGTATGGCTTGGAACCAGGAGCTCTGGGCTTTGGGCTCAGTATGACCACTAAGTTGGCTGACTCCTTCCCCACTACAGTGTTGGGCCATTTCAGTGGTTCCTCAGCTCAGCAGTATCTGCACCAGATTCACCTACAATGCTTGTGTATTAACTAGACAGATAAATGGTCAAAGCCCGACTTCAGATCTCTTGAATCAAAATATCTAGGAGTAAGGGTAAAGATACATACATCTGCTATCTTTAATGAGAATACTGGATGAGTCTCCCTTCTGACCAGGTTTAGGAACCACTGGACTATATAATCTAAGATATACTCCCTACTCTAAAACACCGCTACTAATATCCTCTCTTTGGCCCATTCCCGAAGAGTCTTACTCCTTCTCACCAAGCACATCCTTGGGACTGCTGGGGAACTGCTTGCTGAGCACAGTTTCCAGGGCATAGCTCAGGTCCATGCTGTGCCTGGTTATCTCTGCCGGGGTGGCACCTGCTGGGAACATCTGGGTTGGCAGCTCTGAGAAGCGGATCTCTGTCCCAGCTCTGGGCTTCATCTCTGGTAGCCGGGCCAGGCCCTCTTGGTAGCTCTTGCACTCTGTGCCATAGCGGGGTAGGTTCTGCTCCACCCGGTCCTTGGTATGCTTCATGGACAGCACGGGCAGCACATCTGAGAAGGCACAGATCTGCCGACTCTCAGGCTGCAGCTTCTCCATTGTAGCCTCACTGATGAAATTGGTGAGTGAAATCCACTTCTTGAGTGTGGAATATGGGTATGGTCCCAGGAACTGGTCTAGCTCCTGGAGATTGGCCCTCATGGCTTCTACTTCAGCCTCTGGGGCTGGGGATAGGTCTACCTCTTCCTGGACTGCGTTCCAGCGCAGGACCACCAGTCCCCGCTGTTGCAGGCTAAGGAAGAAGCCTATACGAGGGCCTACCTCCCTGGGATTGGCCTTGTCCACAGAGCTGTAGTGGAAAAAGTGGATGCCTGGTGGGATCATCTTTACGCCTCGGAACTTAGGCCCCACCTCCCAGGAGTTATAGTCAATGCCAAATTCTGTCCCTTTGGGCATGTTTAGGATGACCACAGTGGCTCCTTCAAAGAAGAGACACTTGGCTAGATCAGGATCCATCTGCATGGCAGCCATGAGACCAGTGGTTAATGACCAAAAAGAAAACTTTCTTCCTTGTCTTCCAGAACAGCTGAAAGAGAAAAAATATCAGATTTCATCAGCACTTGGGGAAGCATGCATCATTTGCTGAACATTTTCTATGTATGTGCTAGGTATTGAATTAGACCCTTGACATAATTATCTCCCTTAATCTTTTTGAGAGGTTTTTGCTATAGGGCACATGTGCTTGCCAGAAAGACAGAAAGAGAAGAGAGACAGAAAGTGAGAAATCACCCCCGGGGGATGGCCATGCTGCAATCTCTTCTCCTCCATTCTCCTCTCGGGATCCTGGACACACTCACACATGTGCCCGGCCTGAGTCCAAGCCACTGGGTCCGGGACTCAAACCACGGTAGAGCATATGGGAGTCCAGCAACATAGCCATTACGCCAACTGCTGGTCCCTTCCCTTAATCTTGATGACAACCCTACACCTATTTTACAGATAACAAAAATGAGAACTAGAGAGAACTTTCGTATTTTGATTTAACAAGCAAGACCACTCATTTCATAGCTAGAAAGACACCAGTTAAAGAAAAGTAATATATGTTCAAGGTCACACAAGGACCCAAATTAGAATCTGGGTACTCTGCCCTGCAGGACGGAGTTCTCACTGTTCACTCTTTGGATAGGCTCTAAAGATCTCTCTCTCATATAACACAAGATGAGGATGCAAAGTCTGATGAACCATTCTAGACTAAGTCACCTTAAACTCTCTGCCTAAAACTTACTGCTGAAGAGTGTCAGAAGATTTGAGAAGAATGATTAAATCAAACACACGCCCAGATTCCCATAAGCCTCAGGGAAGGTCCAGAAATAGAAGATAGAAAGTATGGCTCAGAAGCATCTAAACTTTACAAAAGGCTTGGGAAATGGAGAGCTTTTCAACCATAAATCCTTCTTATTTTATTCATAAAAACATCTAAACTCCAGGTAGTGAAACAACTTCCCAAGGGGCCCACAGTCAGTAGTGGCTTTGGATCATTCATCCAAAATGGATTCGAGTGGGAAAGCTGGCTTAGAAAAAATATATAGAAAGAAAGTGCTTAGGAACACTTATTTTACCAACCTCGAAACTACCCATGAGGACACATTGATAAAACTTTGTAGGCAGACACTGCCTATGTGGTATCTATAAGAATGGTTCCAATGTAAATTAATTTAAACCAATTATTTAATCTTCTAGCCCTAAACCACCTACCTATTTAACTCAATAAAAATTCACCGAATGCCTGTATCAGTCAGGATCTTTACCAGGCCCCCATAAAAACATCCACAGAGTAAGACACTGCCCTCAAGCCATTTCCAATCTAGTCAAACATACGAACAAGACACCAAAATTTCACAAACAAAAACAAGCTGCTTGTTTCATTATGTTTATTCTTTTCATCTTAAACAAAATAAAATAGTGAGGGAAGAAAGACCAATCCTTTTCTAAAAACATTAAGAGCATACTCTATCATCTTTACCCCAAAACTACTGCAAATGGCTCTCACTCTAAATCAGCATTTTTTTCCCTCAAATTGCAATATACACAACTCATTAATGGATTAAAGTATCAATTGAGAAAATTTTAACTGGCATTGCATGTTTTAAAACACACACACACACACACACACACAGAATTTTTTAAAAAAGAACCATCCATTTAATTTATTATTTTAATTTGACCACAGAGAGAAAGAGGGAAAGTGAAAAAGCAAGCCACCAGGTCTGGGACTCAAATCGTGGTCAGCCAGTACCTTAACCACCATGTCACTTGCTGGCCCCCAAAACAGAATTTTTTATGTATAAAAATACACCATCGGTAATAAGAATTGTTTTCTGAAGCTGTGTGTATGTGTGAACGCACACGTGCATGCATGTGTATACACTTGATTATGAAATAAAATGTATTTGTTACTATAGGCCAAGTTTGGTCACTGCTCTAAATTTGTATCTTTATCTACCTATCTGTAGCCCTGAATTCATAACACACTTAATAAATATTTCCTAAATGAATACATATTCCCTTTAGAATAACTGCTCATCAATGAGCTAATTTCCCTTGTGGCATCTGTGTGCTCCTCCTTGATCACGACACTGATTTCATTCTAATTCCGCCTGCCTTTAATGCTCTTCACTGTATCTCTAGCAGTGGCACATGCCTGACAGAGAAGGAGCTGGGAAAAGGTTTGTTGAGTATGCATAGAACACTGCAGCCTACCAACTCATCTCACCTACAGCTCTGAGTTCCTCACGTCCTGGAATGCAGAAAGTCATAGCCATCCAACTCTCTACACCAGATCCCTAAATCCATCAGTGTCCCCCCCAGAGAGTGCTTGCCGATCAGTCCATTCTCCATCCAACAGCCAGACAGATCTTTCCAAAATGCCACTCTAATCATGTCACCATCCACACATAACACCCTCTGCGTGGCGTCCCATGTGGCCCTTGGGAAGCCTAAACTGTTAGGGTGACCGACAAACCCTGTGTGGCCTGGCCCCTGGCAACTCCTCCAGCTTGCTTCATATACTTCTCCCTTCACAAGCTCTGTTCAGCCACACTGGCCCCTTCCAGGCCCTCAAAGAGGAGGCTCCCCCCAGACAGAACACTTCCCTCCCCACTCTGTTAAAGCACGTTTCTGATCTCAGCTTTGTATTTACCTCCTCAGTAAAGCTCCCCTCACCGGGCCAGAGGTCTCCGGTGCACACCCACTCTGCCTTGCAGCCCTCTATTTCAATGATCACTATTACAATTTTGCATGTTTGATTGAGGACTGTCACTTCCACAAGACTTGAGTCTTTTTGTATCCCTGGCACATAGTGGGTGTTTAACAAACATGAGTCGCATAGAAGAAGGATATCCAGTCTTGTAGTACAGGAGAAACCTAAGCTCGGTTCGGAGAAATGACTTATCCAAAGTCAGCAGAGTACGGCAGAAGCAGATGGGTACTGCCAAGGTCTCTGGCCTCCAAGCTCTAAAGTTAAGAAAAAAATTGAAGTTACCTCGGTGCCTCGGGAAGCTCTGGCAACGGTGTCTCTGGTGACGGCTTCTCAGGGAGAAAGGCCTCTAGAGACACCAGCGTCCCAGCACTGGCCCACAAACCGAGACGCAGCCGCTCCGGCGAGGCGGGCCCGGTTCCGGGCTCTCGGCGATTCCCATTCCGAGTGGCGCTGCCACACACACAAAGCAACCAGCGAGAGAAAACAGATGCCAGAAGGCCGTACTCACCGCCTCAGTTCACGGTCCACTGCCGCGGAAACGCACCGGAAGCTCACGTGCTTTGGCGCCGGAAGCGAGCAACAAAGAAAGTGGTCCCGCGGATCCTCCGTCAGGGAAGGAACGGTCCGTGCCTGCAAAATCCTCTCGATGAAATGTTGCCTTTTATGACTCTTGAGTTTCTCGTTTTGGCACCTGAATTGTGGATAACAGCTCTCGTTAAACTGTGCAGTTTATATCCCCTTCCAGAAACAATCACTAGCCATAGTCCCTTGGTCTCCAGCAGTCATGGTCACCGAAGCTCGGTCAAGACGATGGCTACCTAGTTAGTACCCCGTCAGCTCGGTCGTGGTCCTGGTCAGCCGATCTCTGTTAGAGTCACAGTGTCACAGCTAGCCTGCTGTCTCCCAGTATCAGCTTTCAGACACTCAGTTGGAAAGGAGAGCCTCAGACCTACCCCTAGCCCAGAGAGCACCATCCTCAGCCCAGCAGATTCATCCCAACAGGTCCTCCAGCCATAACGACTCAGATCCCTGCAGCCCAAGTCTGTCTTAGGTTATCAACACACACAGGGAGGGAACCAGCTCTTTTTTCTCTACACTGCTTCCCTGGGACCTAGCACAAAGTCAGGCAGGAAGCTCAGCTCAGTACATGTATTACGCAGTTAATGACAGTCATTTGATACTAATAAATGGCTTCTTTTTGTGGGCCTAGCCCTGCACTAGGTGTGGTACCAGTCGGGGTTCCGAACCAGTAGGAGATACGTATTACAGGATTTATAAGGAATTGGCTTATGTGATTATGCTGGCTGGCTAGGCAGGCCACATGGATGTTATTATGATATAGGGAAAGTCAAGACACTTTCTTTTTAGACAGATTTTTGGTATAGGGCACGTGCACTCACTGGAGAGACAGAGAGAGACAGAGAGAGAGACAAAAAGCAGAAATCACTCCCCAGGGGAGATGGCCATGTCACAACCCCTTCTCTTCCATTCTCCTCTTGGGATTTTGGGCACGCACGTACACGTACCTGGCGTGAGGTTTTAGTCACTGGGTCCAGGACTTGAACAAGGTCAACTACGAGGGAGTCCAGCGACGTAACCACCACGCCATAGAAAAACACATCATGACTTTACTGGCAACCCATATTTCTCATCCTTACACTAATCTTAGTAAATAGGTTAATATTCCCAGTTTACAGAAGAGAAAACTGAGGTTCACAGAGGTGTTACACAGCCAGAGAGTGGTAGAGCTAGGATGCAAACCAAAATCTGACTAGCTGTTCTTATTTCTGTGTTGCTTCTCTTTAGTTTGTCTGTCATACTTCCTCAGCGACAGCTGGACACGCCAATCTGTCTCAGTCAAAATTAATCTCTTAGTGAGTTGCATACTAGACTGGGCCCTGCAGTCATGGTTAATCACAATGAGCTGCTGCAGGATTACCCAGAGAGGGCCTTCATCAGTTACAGTCACGCACATCAGTCTCATCCTGGCCTGTCAGTTCCATTTCTTGCATGAAGAAATTCAATCCTTGTCCCCCTCAGCGCACACACACACACACACACACACTCCTAGTCTTAGGTGCTAAGCTCTGTGTTTCTAGTTCCCGCTTCCAGGTGAACTCACCATCTTCTCTGAAACTCCAGGACACTATTCACTGGACACTGAAGGTGTAAATGCTAGCTTGGGAATACCACTTTGTACTTGCACATCCATACAGATCAATGTCTCTTAACCTTGGCACTATTGACTTAGGGCCAGGCAATTCTTTGTTGT